CCTTCCTTGTCTTTGGGTTCAGCTTCAAGCTGTCAAATGACATAGCTACATTATCAAACAGGCTTTTTGCCAGTAGAGTGCTTTACCACTGTTGTGGCCTGTCAACAAGATAATATGGGACAAAAGACACAAAACTCTTGATCTTGTTATTGTTCTCTATATAAAGATTAAGTGTGTTCATATCTGTTTGGGCTCATTGTACTTTACTGACTCAATGTGCTAAACACTTTAGTAGTGTGGAGTGGAATGGAATGGAGTATGTATGTGGGTGGCCTGTTTAGAAAGCAGACATAGTCTACATTATAAAACTCTGTAAGCCATGTGAAATGAATTTTTCTGTACACAATATGCAGTTACTTATGTATATCTTCAAATAGATGTTAGTTAGAGCATTATCTTCTTTTTGTAAAAGTCTGTCCATTTGTAAAATAACAGAATCATGTTTTTCTCTCAGAAATGGAGAATTTCTATGTTAAGGAATAGCACAAAAAGAATGAATGAAGATTTTTCTGTAAGAATAAGAGGAAGAAAGTTACAAATACTTCAGGAGAAAGATTTTGAAGAATAATCCTCTAGATCAAGAACATTATCTTCCCTTTGTTCAATTAATACTCACTTAAGCACAACATAACATTTGTTTGTGACATTTTATATGCCTTTTGATAGTTGTGGAAAAAATAAATAAATTGCCTTTAAGAAAAAGTTTTCTGAAGGGGACTATTGCACTCTAGAAAGGTAAACATTCCTTTTATGCATCAACCATTAACGCACAAGAATAAATAAGCTGGTCTCTGAAGTGCCAATGATGGCTTGCAAGAAACAGTGAAATTGCACAAAATCCATCTATTACCCACTTCCCCTTGGGCTGAAATACATGGCATTCATTTATAAGTCACATGAAAACCATTTGTGCTCTTGTCTATGAATGTCAAAGAGCACTAGTAAAAGATTATTATTATTGTACAGGCACATCACTTATATATTTTTTTACTACAAAAGGTACAAGAAAAGCAATAAAATTGACTTGGCTCCCATGTAGAGTAGAAATGGAATCTATTCGAAACCTCTTCTTGTATTATTTCTACATAAACTCATAATGTGGCATATGTATGGCATTTATGCTACCAAAAATTTGTTTTAAAATTTAGTAATCTACCAACCGTAAAATGCATCCTAAGTCACTTCAATGTCAGCTTGACTGAGTCTTTTAAAAGTCACTTGTATGATAGTTTTACCACAAATTCATGAACTCTTCTGTGGTCACTGTTTATGCTTTCTAAAAATCACAATAAATCAGCATAAAACTTAGCTTCTTTTTGACAGGTTTATTTAAGTCTTTAGTTTTCAGATAACATCAGCCTCTTCAGCAGTAAACATATCAGAAAACAGAAAGAAAGACATACTGAGATCTGACATACATGAATAGCTTTGAAAATGAGCCTAAGTTCCAAGGCAAATCCCAGTGGATTTGAGTAGATCTTCTATAAGCTAAAGTAGTTTTGAATGCCCACTTCAGTACAGGAAATAGAAGTACTTTTAAAGCTACCAGTTGATAGGTGCTATAGATCTTATATCTAACCCATCTTGTCAATTTTCCCATTTTCTTTTCCTTCATATTTTTACCAAGAAACCAGAAAACTAGTAAAATGGCCTGGATGACTAGTCTGAAGTATTTGTCTCCAAGTTAGCTTTGGATTCTTAGAAAATTAATAATTAGTAAATTCTTAAAGATGCTGGGAGAAATTGACTGGATTAAACAATTTAGAGCTTCAGTAAGATCTATTCACTGCCTCTCATTGTTATGATTTTTAGAAGTACATACTGACATACAAGGACGGTTTTTATACTCTACTAAGCTGGATCTACAGTTACAATTACTGAAGTCATTCAGGCCCAAAATGTGCTTTTGCCTGAATTACCAAAGCAATTACACCTATCCCAAGAGTGGTTACTGATTGAAAAATCTAAGGGCATGATTACAGCAAAGCTCTGGGTTTCTTCATCTTTATTTCCTTCCAAGACATATATTCTTGGTTTTTACAAAACAATGAAAACATAAGGCCAGAAGCCCAGTCTTGAGAACAACATAGAGTTTATTTGCAAATGACAAACTATACAAATTTGTGAGGAGAACAGGGGAGAGAAAAGTAAAAACTTGGAAGAATTGCTTTCTTATGTTAACCCTTGAAGAAAGGTGTGACCTTAAACTTTCCAGTGAAATCTAGGGTTCTGTTGGGAGAAAAATAGACAATCCATAGGAAAGAGGAGGAAAAAGCATTGTATTATTAACAGTTTAAATGCATCATGGTCTCTGTTTAAATACAATCTTGATGAATTGTTCTTAAAAATGGTATTGATCTAGGTAATCAATCTTGGAGCTTTTGTCAAAAAGGATTTTTTCACCAAAACTACACTATTGATTACTTGCATCAGAACAGAGCTTTAAAAAGAAGAAATTCATTCAAGTCAACGCTATTGCTGATGCCCCTGAAAATTCTAAAGTTGGACATCGACCCCCATTTAAAAAAAAAACCCTAATGTCAGGAGGAGTCACTAGTGGGTTTTGCTTCATCCACTGTCTGTCCCTTGACAACTATTGTAAATCTTGTCACCTGATGCTACCCTGCACTTTAGCAGGCTGGGCTTTGGTAATAGAGCTCAAACCTTGGAAAACAAAGACAAGAACAACAAACTTACAAAGGTGTTTAATGGTTAAAATAAAGGCCTTGCCAGCCAAACCCAGGATCGATGAAGATAAACTGGGAAGCTAAGTTTTGCAGTTTAAAAATCTTGAGTGATTTCTGCATTACTGTAAAATCCCAGAAAAGCTGAGAAAACACCTAAATCCTGCAAGCCATATTCAATCACTTGAAAGATTTACTTGGCAGGATAAGAGTGAATTTAGCAATCTTTCTGAGCCTGTATTTATGATGTTTATGCATGACAAGTTTGCTCTATATGTGTCTTAGAGTTAGCAAAGAAGAATTCTCACCAGCAGTTAAAACATCATTCTATTTATGTTAATAAGTCAACTCACTGTTATGATGCAGTTACTTAGCATCTAAATGTTTTTCCCAGAATAGAAATTCCAAAAAGGACATGATTTAAATAATCCTACTCAGAAGGAACTGGTATTGTAAAGAGTATGAAATTCTAATCCAGTCATGTAACAGGTATAGCAATGACAGTATCATTCGATGGCTGCTCAAGGCCAAGATTCTGCCACAGTCTCAGAAATAAGAGACAAAATCCGAAGTTTGGAAAGTGACTTTAAAGGATGAGGAAGCATATATAAATCTAAGTTGTTGTGTCATGAATACAAACCAGCTTGCAAGAGCACATTCATGTGGACAATTAATAAAATGAGGATCTATCTTGGCCTTTCAAAAAGCTCATACACAAGTCATGGTAAGTAAATAGGTCTTTGAGGCCACATCACAGTTGCTTGTGCCATTTCTGTAATATGCAGAGAGAATGTCACTTCCCATCTCTATTTGAATTCACAACAGCCTGCTACCTGAGTGTACCCCACAAAGAAAAATACCAAACTCTAATTGAGGACTAAGTTAGCAGTGACACATGTTCTCATTCTCATTTATAAAATTATAAATTATAAAATTTAATCAAGCAGATACAAAAAATATAAAGTAGTAACGTTTTAAAAAGTATATTTTGCAAAAGTATGCTTTCATCATAGACTGATTTCAAAGGAGAACTGACGAGGATGGACAAAGTAGTTCAAGAAGTTCAATTACATTACCTGTCTTCCGCATAACATGGTAGTATCATGATTATTTTAATAATTGTTATTAGACTTTTTAGCACTTTCCAGATAGTTTCAAATTAGCCCTTTACCTGACAACTGTAATTAAAATGTCATTTGTTCAGTTTAGCAAAAATTAAATTTTATAATCTATATTATGGGCATGAAATGTTTTTTGTCCTCTTTGCTATATTTCACATATAGTTAATCTTCAATGTCAACTGACCTATTCATAATATATGTAGATAGAAGTACCTTTATTGTTTTAGACCATTGCCTTTCAACGAAAGTTGCCATTGGATTTTCAAGTTTCCCAAAGATTCTAGAATGTGGTTTCTATACCTCAACAAAAAGCACAAGTTTGCTATTGATCCATAGAAAAAGATTGGAATATTTTATTTCATATTCTGAAATAGGCTATCTACTAGGTACTAGAGAATTTTTATGAACATTATATAAGGAAAACCAGTGAGTGTGTTGGGGGGAAGGGGTGAGTACGTGTGTGTGTGTTGGAAAATCTTTCAAAGAGATTATAAATATTTGATCATGACTATCATATACTAGAATCAGAAGTTCTTTTTAATCCACTGTAAACATTATATTATATACCTATACCTATACCTACTTGAAAAGTAAAATGGGAAGTTTTATTGAAAGATAAGTCAAAAATAATAGAAATACTTTTATCTCTATATTGTAAAAATATTTTATTCTGTATAGATTTCTTTTACTTTTCAGTACTTAAAATTCAAAAGAAGATAAGTATGATACTACACACCTCTCATCCCTATCTTGGAATGTAGAGGACCAGGAGTTCAAGGTTATCCTTGGCTACATAACCAGCCTAGACTACCTAAGACATATAAAAAAAAAAAAACCTAAACATGCAACAGAAACTGAAACAAAATATAAATATGTGTATATAGAAAAAGATAAAATAAATCTTTATAGCTCTGTCCAGAATTTCTAGTAAATCGTTTCAATGTTCACTTGGATTAGCCATTATTTACCTACCATTTTGAATGTTTATGTCATATTTCCTATTCTTTTGGCCATTTAAAAATAATAAATTTTATCCTGATATTTAAATTTACAACTGGGTTTCTTCCTTGAGTCTTTGCCTTGACTTCCCTCAGTGTGACCCAAGATTTGTAAGATGAAATAAAATATTTTCTCTCCAATTTGCTTTTCGTTATGGTGTTTTATCATGGAAATAAAAACCCTAACTAAGTCTCCCTCTCCCAGAAATGAGCAAAAATACCTTGTTGATGTGGTGGTCTTATATCAGTCAAGGGCAAAACAGATGACAATGCTTTGTTCATCTCAGCTTGATACCTGGCTTGGTGGACAAAGCTATTTTATGCCTTGGACTCATACAAATCAAATCAAATCAAATCAAATCAAATCAAATCAAACCAAAGCAGTACAGTACAGTACAGGAGGAGGAAGACAGACAAGAGACCTGTGTCTATCAGGTCAAATGGTGTGGGAAGGGAAAGATGCACAGCCCTCTCCACCCTACAGTAGAGGTAGATGATAACATACAGGTATACACCTACCATCACACAGGGCAGTAATGGAGGAGAACGACATAAACATATACTGACAGAGAGACAGACAGACCCATCTATGGACTGCCATACCACCTACATACATGCCCTCTAGCACATGGCACAGGCAATACATAAGCACATTTGCCACTACACCATGCAGCTTGAGTATTATGATGACATGGAACTGAAGACTCAAGGATAGAGAATAGTATCCTGCTGTGAATGCCTAGCCCTGCCACCTGGGGCCATGGTGAGGTCCCAGCCTGAGCTACCCCTAAGGGCCCTGTCTAGGGTGGTTATGCAGCAGCAGCTGTTGCTATCTCATATTACCACTGAAGAACAAAAGGATGTCAGTGATTGAGGTAGGCGCTGGGGACCACATGGATGTCCAGGTGGTGCAGAACTGGTTCTGTCCCACACTTCCTTTGAAGCTCTGGAAAAGCTGGCCTCCCCTGAGGCAGCACTCATGAAAGAGGCCCTGCACATTGCCCAGCCAGGACAGTAGAGCTGGTCTGGTTGCACGAATGTGGCTGAGCTTTTTCAAAAACATTAGTGTGGGAGAGGTAACCCCACCACTCATCTGCTGTGTTAAGGCAAGGCACAGAGATGACGCCCCCTGCTCCTTAGCCCCCTTGCAATTAGGAAAGTTGCACAGATGATCATGATTGAGGAAGAGCTAGACCTGTCCTTCTGCAGAACTCCAGAGGATGGGCCATGCGCCTTGTCTGAACAGTATAGCAGCACTGAACTTGGTGGTGAGAGAGCAGAGCACAGGAGAGAGATGTCCCACTACCCATCTGCCTTAGGGGTGATGTCAGTGCAGGTATGTGTATGTGTGGGTGCCTTCTTCCTCTACCCCCATGCCTCACCATCTGTGACAGTCAGGAGATCTGGCCAAGAGAGTGGGTGAGCTGGCCCTGCTCCTCACCATCTAGGGAGAGTGGGTCCTGCTCTTCATCTGAGCAGCACAATACCATTGGCCCTGTTCGAAGGAACACAGATGAGCCAGCCCCAAGGGCAAGAGTGAAGGAGAGCTAGTCCAGCCACTCATCTGCTATGAAGTGGTGTGGGTTTGAGGTAATGCCTTCTCCCCAGCTAGCCCCTCACCACTTGTACTTGGCAGAAGAGCTGGTCTCAATGGCATGAGAGAAGGAGAACTAGCCCTGCCCCCTCGCTTGCTATAGCATTTGGGAGAGCTAGCCCTGCACTGCACCTGGGCAACAGAGTAGAGCTTAACCAGATGCTGAAAGAACAAAAAAGATAGCCTGAAGGGTCTGATAGTGGGAGAACTGTACAGCTCCCTCATAGGCTATAGCACTTGGGAGAGTGGGCCCTGTGCCTTGACAGTGGATCTGGAGGCATGAGTGTAGATGAGCCAGCCCAGAGGGCATGAAAGCACTAGAGCCCCCTCTGCCTCCCATTGATGGTAGCATTGGATGACCTACCTGGAACAGTGATGGAGAGCTCAACTTGGTGGGACAGCTGACCAGTTGACCAGCTCAGCTACTACTCAGGCACAGATTCAGGTTTCTGAGTTGACCCACCCCAAAATCTATACCATCTATGAACAGTTGGGATACTGGAAAGGGCCAAACCTTCAGAATCAAATCTGTAAGATCTCCATAACACAAGACAACAGCAAGGTAACCAGGAGGAGTCCCAGTGAGAATCCAATATTGATGGTGTCACTAAAGTCTTAGACCTCAAGCCAGACTCAATGCACGAAACATTTGTAAGTGAAGCTGTATGAACAGAAGGATGTAGTGTGGGATGCACTGCAACATATTACAGCTTCCTTAATGAGATGTTTTGTCTATGCTCTGTGTGTGTGTGTGTGTGCGTGTGTGTGTGTGTGCATGCGTGTTCTTGTGAATTGGGAGAAGTTACAAGAGTAAAGAGCAGATATGAGGGGACAGGGACATGAGTGGGACTGTTGTGCATGAGAAACTCAAAATGATTCAGTAAAAAGTTTAAAAACTACTAAGATGACAATTGTGGATCTTAAAAAAATGTAAATTTGTATATGTACAGTTTACTATGATGATGTTACTTGCGTGTTGGTCAAATACTTAAACACACTAAAACTTAGTAGTTTACATTTTTCTTAAACTTCGTCTCTGTCAACTCTAGCAATGGGACATTCAAATTAATTTAGATGGTACATCAGAAAAGGAGATATAAGAATTCATTTGTATATGAATTTATATATATATATATAAATTTATATATATATGACAGGTAATACATATTTTAAATTGTTAGGGGAAGAAAATGAAACCCTAATGAATAGAGATTTCAAAATACTAAACTATGATAAAACTATGATTGATAGTTGATTATAGAGAAAAGAATGTACACTGGTGAAATAATGTAAATGTTGACAGACTGAGAAAATGGCATGCCAAATAAGAATTATTAGTTCCACATTTATGAAAGTACTAGGAAATGTATTGTTACAAATTTTTAATGGCATGGATAATAGCCCTTCAAGTATGCTTAGTCAGTATCACTTGTCATAGATACTTCCAGTTATAAGTAAAGAAATATCAAAGAAAGAGTTAAAAGTTTCAATTAGTTTATAGCTGACTACTTATTTACCATGCTATATTTAAGTCATATATATATATATAAACAAATAGCAATGGTTATCTTTATGCTTCTGTTTGCATAAAGAAGACACATTTTAAAGATTGTAACTCTTTTCTGATCTCTTATAAATTTATAGATGTTGTTCTTGTCTTTGTATATACTCTAAGAGTTTCACTGAATCAGCATTAACCTATGTTCATGTCTTTCAGATTACTCTCAGTAATATCTCAGTTGTTCAGTTTGTATAGATTATATTTATGCTTATATCTTTCTGCATGTCTTCATGTACTTCACAAAACCTCTACAATTCTCTGGCTTGGCAACTCTTCTCTCTGTTATCAGCTTTGACTTTATGCATAGACTAGAATTGGATAGAGATCAAACACAGAATGTGAGGTTTATATATTTTTATTTTTAAGCATGTGCTTCCTTAAAAAATCTGGAATTATGTTCATAACATAATCACAAATGGAAATTACTGGTCAGTACATTTCTTCCTGAAAGAGATATGTGAAAAATGTTTAAGATGGAAAAATAGGAATGGTACAATGTTTCTCTCTTTTTTTTTAATTAGGGACTTTGAACTAAAAAATGGGATACTGTAAGTGGAGCTAAATGGGCCATTATGGTAAGGGATTAGAATATAGTACTCCTGAGAACTAGAAGACTGTGCAGGCATAAGATGTTTCAGAATGAAGAGTATTAGCAACTGGACTAGCGAAAATTCCTGCGATATTTTTGTTAAAGGATGTGGCTGTTTTCTACCATTGTCCTAGGATCTTTTTTGAGCCTATACTTAAAATTTAAAAGAAATGGACCAATTTCCTTGGCCAAGGAGATTACAATACAGTGCCATTTATATGTCACAGATATTAGTAATCACCCTTTTACATATCTACAATGAAAAAATTAGAAAGTGAGGCAGTACAAAGTATACAATCTGAAGAGAAAAAGAGCTCTAGCAAGCTTGTACTGAAAGACATATAGACTGGCCTGTATTGGTCTGGCAGGTATGAAGTTGAACAGACCTCTGAGAGGGGAGTGAGGATTATAGGAAAGATGGAAAAAAGACTCAGAGACGAAGATTAGAAATCGGTAGGGCTGTCCAGTCAGAATTGCAGCAGTCTCCAGTTTAATTCTTTTAGGCTTTATATACATTACAGTGTTGTAGGAAACAAAGTTACAAGCCTGCAGATACAAAGGCTGACATACATACAATATCTATACCCGTCTGGAGGCCTCCCTATTCCTCCCTGTTCCTTCCTCCAAGTTTACTAGAATATTCAGTCCCGAACTTTCAAGTGCATTCCTCTTATCTTTCTATGAATCTGCAGGCCAGGAAATCAGACAGTAGACCCTGGCCTGACTTGACTCTGCCTGACAGGCACGCTTTCACAGAAACAGGTAAAATGGCCCCCAACAGTGGCCTTATCTGCAGTGGAATAAATAGAATGATTTACTTAGCACAATATCTCACTTAGCTAAGCTTCAACTTGTGAAAGAAAAAGACCTAAGAATTTTCCTGCTCTTAGAAAGAAATAACAAAAGCTTCTACAAATATGATTCAATGTGACCAAGGTCAACCCCATATTGATAGCTAAATTTGGCAATATTGTCCAAGTGGTGCTAGCTCGAGAGTCAAGAAGAATACAAAAGTAAAGAGATTTTGGAATCTTCCTCTATAATTTAAGAATGATGCTGAGAGCAGGAATGTGACAGAAGAGATTCTACATGGAGGCCACTTTGTGAAACCTGAGTTGTATTGGAGACCACAAGATGTTGGAAATGCCAGGGCCTCATAATATCTGTCAAGAAAAAAATTGCACATACTGGAACCTCCTGGAGAGAGAGATATCTGTGTTAGAGATGACAAGGAAAGACAGAACCACTCCTTTAACATCAGAAATGGATTTGGAATTTGTCCTGCTAGGTTCTGCTCTTGATTTTGACCATCATTTCCTCACTATTGACAAACCCCTCCCTTTTGGAATGGTAATATATATTCATTTACATGCATACTTTGAAGGCAAGTAATATGCTCTTAGATTTTACAGATGATGGCTTGTGTCTCAGTAGAACATTCAGACTTTAAAACACTGTTGTGATTGTAAATAACTTCGGGAACATTCAAGTGGAACTTAATAAATTTCTCATTGTAATATGTCCACAAAACTATAGAGGACAGAGAGTAGAATGTGGTCATTTTAATGAGAACTCCTCCATAATCTGGCAGTT